CATTATGGTAGGTGGAAAAGCGTGGCCCGAGCAACTTATTAATATGCAGAGCAGCCAGCAGGTGTCTTTGCTACCGTTTTATGCCACAATTTGCGCCACGTGCGGCTGCTGCTGCTGCTGCTGCTTTTCCTGCTTCTCCTGCTGCTGACAAGGCTTTAATAAAGCTGCCACTCGGCTGCGTTCGCCTGGCTGCCAAAACGATTTCTTTGCTCAGCTGCAGCTCGAAATTAACAATTCGTAGCTCATTTTTCTGCCAGCAGGGTGGGCGTAAATCCATGAGGCAAGAACGAAAAAGGGGGGCGGGACCACTTGCAGCGACAATTAGTTGAGTTATTGGCAGCAAGTTGGTCCTGTGTAATCCCCCCTCCAGTCCCTCTTACTTTGGACAGCCCAAGTAATTTTGTATAGCCTGACAAACAGCAATCAGAAAGGAGAAATGTCCAAAGCAAAAATGTTAGTGGGTTTCTATATTAAATATTACGTTTACCTTTAGAAGAAGTGTTTTATATACATATTTATTTTTACCTATGACAGATCTTTAACTGTTTAACTTTTTGAGAATAATATTTTTGATACCCTAATCAACGATTTTTATTCAAATTATTTAACAACTTTGAACTTAGTACTCAAAATGAACTACTTATAACCATATGTCACTGGCTTAAATTCAATTAACTGTCATAATTATACCCGTTACTCGTAGAGTAAAAGGGTATACTAGATTCGTCGGAAAGTATGTAACAGGCAGAAGGAAGCGTTTCCGACCCCACAAAGTATATATATTCTTGATCAGGACCACTAGCCGAGTCGATCTAGCCATGTCCGTCTGTCCGTCTGTCCGTCTGTCCGTCTGTCCGTCTGTCCGTATGAACGCTGAGATCTCGGAAACTATGAGAGTTACAATACTGGGATTAGGCACGCAGATTCCTGAGATTCCTGCGCAGCGCAAGTTTGTTTCAGCACAGTGCCACGCCCACTCTAACGCCCACAAACCGCCCAAAACTGTGGCTCCTACAGTTTTGATGCTAGAATAAAAATTTTAACTGAAATGTATTGTTCTCATCAATACCTATCGATTGACCCAAAAAAAAGTTTGCCACGCCCACTTTAACGCCCACAAACCGCGAAAACCTGTGACGCCCACAATTTTCATGCTAGATAAAAAATTTTAACTGAAATGTATTGGTCTCGTCGATACCTATCGATTGTGCCACGCCCACTCTAACGCCCATAACGCTTAAATCTGTATACCGCCGGTAGGTGGCGCATTTTAATCTCGCTTTGCTGCTTGCATATCTCCATATAGCTGAGTAACGGGTATCTGATAGTCGAGGTACTCGACTATAGCGTTCTTCCTTGTTTTTTAGTAATGTCATCAAACTTTTTGATTAACATATTCATTTAAAATATATTACCTTTTTAATGTAAGTTTATATAACATTTTAAATTCATTTTACCAGTTAGTCTTATATTTCGACTGTAGGCTGTAATCATATTATTAAGGGAAAGGCCAACTTAGTTAATAACAAGTATTAACCATTTGCCTGGGGTGTGTTTAGGTATATTTCTAGCCGCATGTGGGATGGTGATCGGCTTGTTAACTGTTCATTCCAAATTCCCTCTCCAGGCTCAAACACCCACCTCCACCCCCACCTGCGTCACCGGACAGGACACAGTTAGGCCAAGGATTCGAGGCGGCCGCTGTCAACGCATAGTTGTTGGCCAGGACAACGGCAGCAGCAGGAGGAGCAGCAGGTGCAGAAGTTGCAGCAACCACAACAGCAACTTCCACCTCCATCCTACGACGGATGCTCATATGCTTGGGTCCTCTGACAGGTCGGCATACCTGGCCACAGGGCAACTGCATACTGCATGGTGGACTCGACTCTTCTGGCTGGTTGGTCAGTCAGCCGGCGCACAAGGACTTGCAACATGCCACAGTGACATAGGAGGGGTGGGCGGTGGTCTTCCAAAGGAGGGCCAAAAGGATGAGCACACTGGCAGATGATGAGCACTAAGCAAAAGTAGCAGTATTAGGAGGAAAATCAGAAGGAGGAGCTGCAATCCCAGCAATCCACAAATTGACTGCTGAACATGTCAAGTGATTGAAGCCCTCCTCGAACTCTTCATGACCGGGCCAAAATTGTCTGTCCGCTGTCATCGACATGGGGCTATTCAGTTTCCATTGCAGGATGAGAAGGCAAATTGAATCAATTGCTGCACTAAGCCGAACTCATCCAATTTGGATTGTCTGAAATCTGATTTCATTTTAATACGACTCTATGGTTGAGCACGTTTAAAAGGATAGGAAATCCAAACGGCTAGAAATGAAAATAAAACAAAAATTATTCCAATCAATAAAACATTGCAATTCTTAGATACATTTTTAAATTTTAAATATTTAATCCTCCTATAAAATCCATAGTTTTTCAATTACTTTAAAAGGCTACAGCTTAAATGGATATAGGCAAACAAAAACTCATCTCATCGCAAACTCTCATGTTATACACATCCCCAAACGACATTTTCATTAGGTTTTCCGTCTATGGTTGTGTGCGTATACACTGCGTATACGTAACGCAATTTGATGAGCAACTTATTGCACATACGCAGTGGTGAACGGTCCTCCGCCTCCCAAATGGTTTTTGTTTAGTGTTTTTTATCTATTGTTGCTTTATTTTTTGTTGCCATTTTCGGTAGTCACGGCTGTGTCTGACATTTCTTGATGCTACCTCTTTTTTGTCGTACTCAACTCTGACTGTAACTGCGACTGTAACTTGCACCGTTTGGCAGCAGTGGCAGCAGAAGGGGAAGCTATAAACCTGCTCAATGCACAAGGTTTCGCAGCCGAGGGAAATGTCAACGAAAGCTACAAAAATGCAAAATACATTGACAAAAAAGGGAGGAAAACCATAAAAAAAACGAGAAAAATAATACAGAGGATGGGGGAAATGTAAGGAAGAATTCACGCCAAATGAAATCTGCAACGAGTCTGACGCATTTAGCTGTCAGTTTGTCTTAGCGAGTCGGTCGTAGGATACGCCGTCGTCATGTCTCATTGTGCCCGCTGCTCCTCCGATTCCGGGCTAAAAAGGAGAAGAAGCCAAAGGATCCCGATGGCGGAGGCAGGCTGGTGGGATGGGTGGGTTATCCAACCAAACCGAGGCGAGGCGAAACGCAATGCGCGTAAAATAAACAAATTTCCGCAGACGACACTCAACTATGCAAACAGTAATTGGAGCAGGCAGCGGGTGGGTGGGCTTCCAAGTCGAAGAGTTGAGAGATGCTGGTGGGCGGTGGGTAAGCACAGGTAAAACCTTTTCCCAAAACCAAAAACTGAAACTGAAATTCAACGAAATAAAACAACAACAATCAAGGCAAGCCAGAAGTTTTGTATAGGGGTTGTGTGCGTCAAAGGATATCCTGTAAAATCCCTTGTGAGGTGAAAACACTGTACGTGTGGGCATAACTGCGGCAGATCCCCGGCAGAGAAAATTGCTAGCCCACGGGCTGCTTCTACTGGTTTTAATAACCCAATTTTCGTTATCTTATTAAAGAAAGTTATAAGTTCCTTCTTAATATCCAGATTGGCCAGCAAAGGATAGAGTTAGAATACTGCAAGTTCCTTCTTAATACCAAGAAATACCAAAAACAATATAGTATTTTATTTGGAAAATAACTTTTTTGAAATTTAGTTATTTTATTTTTATTTATTGTAATACTACTTTGCCTACTTAAAAATATACCACTTCTCCTAATTTCCAGGGTGTGCACAGGGAAATCGTAATTCAAAGTTAAAGTGGGTGAGCGCGAAGGATGGCGGCAGGAGGTCGCTAGGATTAACAGGATTCGCGCTGGATTCACATAACGCAAGACAGTTGGCGGTGGGGAAAAGGACCAGAAGGTATCCAAAAACAAAAAAAATAAGGAAGGCTAGCGTGGTTGTGGGCCAGAGCCAGAGAGAGAAATGTTTCTGCAAATGCAATATTGTTATGCTGTAATGGTATAAAATGTATGCATATGTTTTACACAGGATACAGGATGCTGCAAACGAGACATGACCAAGGAAGGGATGGAAAAGGATCACAGGAAGGCAGGAAGCCGGCGCTTTGCTGCCTCCGTTTTGCGGAAAATTAAAGAAAACAACATCGCGAAATTCGCATACGGAAAAGCATTCCGGCCATGGAGCAACAAAGAGGAAGAAGAAAACGAGAATGAAAATTGAATGAGGAACACAATTCCCATTTTGTCTCTGACTGTGAAATAGATCCGGTTACTCTCGCTTGAGGGAAAGGTGCTTCCTACTCAGACATTCAAGACTCTTTCAGATCTCCAGATGGATTTAAACTTCATTATTTAATCCGAGCTTTTAAGCATTTATATTTGATTTATCTGATTAAGTTAATGAAATAACAAAGTCTTAAAAGGGATAACGAAATACACTTTTTGTAGAATTGTATCTATTAACTTGTTTTCTAAATTCACTTATTTCTAGTGAACAGGTTAGTATTGCAAAGTGGAGAGCAACTATTTAGTCTTATCTTACAAATTGGTTGGGAATGAGAAAGATAGAGAGTGCAAGTGCAAAATCCAATCAAGTTAGCCTAATTAAAACACCCGACAACAAACTCAATCACTGAAAGGTTCTCGAGGGTCTCATTATTTAGTCTTTGTTTTGGCCTTTTCAGTGTCCCTTGTTCTGGGTTTCACTCTTTTCTTCTTTTTGGCAAACACAAATAAAGCCGAGAAGGTCGAAACAACTGAAACTGTAAACTATGCTAATTGACAAAGAACAAACCGTAGCAAAAGGGAGAAAGAAAGAAAGTACATTTAAAATAGATGAAACAAAAATTATTGCGTGTATAATACTTAAAATTCTTGTAAACCATTATAAACCTTAAATTTTTTCAAGATCTAGATACCTGAAAATAAAATTTGACTTTCCAAATAAAATGTTCAGCTCTTTCCTTCACATATAAGTCAGAAAATTTAATTATACAATGGGATATAGCCATTTTTTGGTTGAGATGAAGAATAATAGTTTGAACTTATTACTGTTGTGCATAATATGTTATCTATTATTATTTTATCGAGGGCCGTTTAAGAACGAAGTTGAGGGTGTGCAGCAACCTTTAGAAGGCAAGCCGGATGCAAGATATTTGTTTGTAAACACTTCGCAATGCCAGATGATTGCCATGGATGCCCTGTCGCCCATGGCGCAACACTATATGACACCCATGCCCATTTATTGGTGCTACATGATCAAATTGATGGAGGCCAAGACAATTGGGGGACGAAATTACCTACAGTTGGTCGCTGGTGCAAAAGAACTTTGGGAGAAGCTAGGAGTTCGGAGGTTAAGCGAAATCTCCTGTGCCTACAATCGCTTCGAGCGATCAAACGACTATCTCAACAAGTACTTGGAATCGAAAGTCTTTCGCTTTAGTCGGTGGAGTAATTTCACCGAGGTTAAATCGGGCAATATAACACTGCGTGTCTGGTGCTGGATGGACTTTGGTCGTCTGGTATATCACGATGTCCTGTTGTTCCTGCCATTGCCAGAGGACCAGATAAGAAAAGCCCCCAGCCCCGAAGAGCCTGTGAAACGACTTTCCGTTTTGATCCTAGGCATTGATTCTATTTCGCACATGCACTACCTTCGTTATTTCAGGTTCGTACTTTTCTTAAGATCTTTATACATATCGGTATTATTTAAATTTAAAATAAGTTAAGCCGTTGTTCTTTGTCATGAATAGCATAACACCGATTAAGCAACAATAAATACATATGTATGTCACACTCACAATTTATCCAATTAAAATGTATATTTATTAAACATCGATTGCGAAAACAAACAATGTCAATAAAACGCATCGGGTTTATTCTGCCGCAAATAATTTAAAAACAAAAGAATGCGCCAGTAAAAATTTTGCAGCCCTTAGAGCTTTTTGTGTATCATTTTAAATTTATAAATATCTAAATAATATCAATGCCCTGCAGTCGAGTAATGGACTTCCTGGATCGTCTGCCGCACGTAGAGTTCTGGGGCTACAATCGGATTGGCCGAAACTCCTATCCCAATCTGTTACCTCTACTAAGTGGTCAGAGTGTGGATGAGGTGGAATCACGAAGGGGTTGCTTTGGGGCAAACCATAAGATTAGCTTCGACCGATGCCACCTCCTGTGGAAAGACTTCAAGAAGGCTGGTTATGCCACCATTTTTGGGGAGGATTCTCGTGTGGGTGCCACCTTTAATTACGCAAGACCCGGTTTTAGGCGCCAGCCCACCGACTTTTATTTGAGAAGCGTAATGAACGAGATCCACACGTGGACCAAATATTTCGCCAGAGGTCCTAAGGAAATAACCTGCAGTGCCGATCGAGTGTATCATCATGTTCTATACGACTTTATCTACCGCTTGTTGCCCCATATGCAGGCAAGATGTTTCGATCGGGGATTCTTTGCCTTTTTCTGGCAAACAATGGGTGTCCACGACTATTTTCAGTACGCCGAACAGACAGATTTGCAATACTATTTGATCCTACGTGCCATGCAAAGACGAAATATCCTGGAAAGAACCTTAGTTCTGATTTTATCCGATCATGGTCTGCGTTATGGTCCTTTTGTGAATTCATTTCAAGGAATGAGGGAAACCTCACTGCCAACATTGGTGGCCATATATCCACGATGGCTGGCTAAAAGGTTTCCCCTGGCTGTAGAAAATCTTCGAGCCAACGCCCATCGGCTGGTGACCGCCTATGATATTCACGAGACTCTTAAGGATGTGGTGAATCTGGAGAACCTAAGCGATGAGCGAATTAGGAACCGAACCTTGCGATTGCGAAATGAATACAATGTCTCCTTATTCCTGCCCATTCCCGAGGAGCGGAACTGCTTTTCCGCCCGAATTCCACTGCACTACTGCGAGTGCGATGGATTCATCAAGATACCTTGGATTGCGAAGAGAGTCCAAAAGATTGCCAAGTTCGCCGTGGAGAGCATCAATAAGATGCTACTTCCCTATAAACAGTGTCATCAGTTGGAACTTCTCAGAGTAGAGGACGCCTATCTTAGGAAAATGGAGAGGATCAGCGATGCCATCATCGTTCGTGTGGTGACCCAACCGGGAAATGGACACTTCGATGCTACAGTGCTTACCAAAAATGATAGTTCTCTACAGGGAGCTATCACAAGAACCGATCAATATAGGCATCAGTCTTTCTGCGCCAGAGAAGAACCCATCGAGATCTACTGTTATTGTTCTTAATTTTCACTATTTTTATAGAGTTTTCTATTAAAAGAAATATACCACTACTGTGTTTTATTTACCTTAATTCTGTACTATTAACATTAAACATGAAATCCCGTAATCCATCGTTCTTTGTACGCAGCCAACAAATATTAGTTTCAATTTGCACTGCACCCAAATAATAACTGATACGTTTTTAACGAAGCCAGTTTACAATCAGTAAACATATCAGTGTTTACGCAATAAATATAATTGGAAATGAGAAGCCCATCAAAACCCACAACATTGACTCATAAAAAAACCACAACCCATGGCTCAGTAGTCCACTGAATCAATTACTATCAATACGCCGATATATTTTACAATGAAAATTTGTTTACATATTGATGCGATTCCTGTGTGTGTGAAACATTTTATTTTTTAATTATTTGTATTTTTTTTAACAAAAGGAGGTTAATTTAAAAAACTACATCCATCTGCTTAGACTTAAAAACATTTCAGTATGTACTACAAATCCAACGATACTCTTGGTTGGGGGGAAAAAAAGTGTGCCAAATATGCAAGCTTGAAAAATGAGGAAAAATCACCGCTGCAGCAAGAACCTGGGAGATTCCAAAGTAGCTGGCATTAGGATAAATGGCTAGCAAATGTGTTTAGATTTCTCTTAATTTCATTTACCGCACATAAACACCCATGCACTTAACCAAAGCTGTTTTTGCGACAAACTGTCAACAGATGGCGCCGCTGTGTCTCGCCATGCATGCAACGCTTGAGATGTGAGCGTGACACGATGTTTGATTGAAGAAAATGATAGACTGGAGATTTTTTTTAGGCCCTTAGTCTTGAGCTTAAAGTAGCAATCACATTATCTGTTTTATTTCGATAAGTTATTTGCACTGGACATCTTAACGAAGTGAGAGTGTTTGCTGAAAGTTGTATACTGTTCGTGTCGGCAGAGCCTCGGGAGAGAACTATCGAAAACCTTGCGTTAGGCCGTTGTTTCTTGCTGTTTTAATGTACCCTTTTACATATTAGCCTATTATTTCTAGTAACACTCTCACAATAACTATCGTTTACAAAGCTGTCTTAGAATATTCACTCACGTGAGCACCTCAAATGCAAACCACACCCGAGGAAGACAGAGACAGGGCAACTGGCACACATATGGCGGGCATAAACATTTGTCGTCGCTCTGCTGTAATTAATAATAATTTGCATTCACAGTTTGCAGTTCAGCGCCCCGTGCGAGATTTCATTTTAATTAAATTATGTGCAGCCTTGTCAGCGTGTGCGGGTGGTGCCTGTGTACACTGTTCATGTGGTGCCCGTGCTCAGCGGTTGAGGAGGCGTGGCTACTACAAGATAAAGCCTGGAAGTGGGTGGCTGCCCCATGTTTGGCCCTCCGCTTGCAACATGCAGCATGCATAAATTATTAGCGCTATCTGTTGTCATTTAAGGTTCGCCTGAGTTTAGTTAAATTCAGTTAAGTTACCCGTGTTCGTGTGCGCCTGCAACACCCGCAATAATGGCAATAACAATGAGTCCGACCACGATAACCATGTTATCAGCTGCCACAACAAGCAGCCAAGTTCTGGGAAGGGGTAAACAATGTCAAACAAAAGTTGGCAACCTGCATGAGTGATGACATCATTTCGTTGCAAGTTTTTGATTAAATTTGCCTCAATTAGGCATTATCCCATCATCCAATTTAGAGAGAAATAATGGATAGCAGGGAATTTAAAGTAAGCTCGTTTTCACATTATAATTAATAGATAGAAATTTCTGAAGTTCTTTCAAACGTTATATGTTTTCTAGTTTAGAAAATAGTTAAAGGACGAACTAAAATTAACTATTGTCTATCCTAATCATAATGTTTGGGGAATATTTAAAAGTCCTAAAACGTTTCAACGTTCTATTCACTGGGTCTTTTTAACTATCTAAGTAAGCATCATCAAGCATTTTAACCTTAAGCATGTTACATTTTCCCACTTTCATTGTAATTTACAACACTAAGCCCTTTCCATTCATCTCCACTGCATGGCGCAACATGTCGCATACTTATTATCACGCATACGAACCGTTGACGCTTATAACATCACAAAGCGCAAACTTCATTTTGGAAAACGGATGACCCTGCTGAGGGATAAGGGACCTATACACACACATAGAGAGCGGGTTAGGGATTTAGCTGGACGAGTCGTGGCCAATGCCATTAAGAGCTTTTGACCAGAACGCGCCGTAAATCAAGTCACTTTAATTCAATAACAAGTTCCCCAGAGTGGCCCAGAGGTTCCACTAGCCCACTATAGCCCCCATTTTACCCCTCGATGGTCCTTCGGATCCAGAGTCCAGAATCCACAGTCCAGCGCAATGTGCAGATGTTGCCATTTGGTTTTGGGCCCAGTTCGTGGACATTGATTTCGTTTATCTGCGATGCCAAATTATTCATTTGGACCACAGACAGCAGCACGGAAAGGGACAGAGATACACATAGAGCGGGCGAAAGAGAAGGAAACAATATTGGTTGGCCAAAGTAATTTGGCACAATTTGATTTCGAGCTTGGCCCCAAAAACAATCGATGCAAACTTGGGCTGCCTTTTGGCATTTCGAATTGTCTTCGGACGTAATTCAAATGTTTTTCTTTGAGGTTGCTGCTGTTGCCATTTAATTTCCATTTGGCATAAAAGCCCATTCAACCTTGAACAAGTTTACACAATGCTAAATAAATTAGACAACACGACAATGGCGACAGCAGCAACAAGAATAAACTTTCAAACTCTGCTCAAGTGTCAAGCAATTGTTGAATTTATGTTTTGCATTTTCCCTCCTAGATTTATTTGCTATGCAAATCTCAAGCACAATTAATAGCAATTATGGATCATTGAGAGAGGAAATGGGGAAAGTGGACAGAGAAAGGGAATCCACAAAAGGACGAGGACAAATTTCGTTTTTATTCAAACCATTTCTTGCATAATTATTGTTATTTATTGTGCAAGTATTTCTTACTTACTTCCGAATTGAGATTTATTACGGGGAAATGTTTTGTCATCTGGTCTCTCAATAAAATTGAATAAATCATGAGATTGCCAAATCAGCCGAGTAATTGTCAACGGCTGAATGTTGATTCGACTGATGAAAAGTTCTTCTATTGTTAGTAGATGTTTGATTTGTAAGACATTTTGTATATTTTATTAAGTCTGTTGCAGAGCTCATCTGTTAATGTTTAATATCCTCTTGATTAAATGAAGATAATCATATGGATATTAAATTTTAAATGCAATTCGGGTCACTCTACTCTATGTTAACCAATTGTGGTTGCCGCAGACAAACTTGACTTTTTGGGGAGCGGACACACACATGTGTGTGTAGATTATGATTTAAGCAACCGCAGGTGGCAGTAGCAACTGCACCACTGAAACCGACGAAAAGGACGCGTTTTCCGGGCATTATAACCCCCCATTTTCCTTTTCTCATCACATCTCCAACAGATTCCGCCACAATGGTTTTGCCTAATCGCACTGTCATTGCGTTAACCGCATTTCGTTTATTTGCCGCATTGCATTAAATGACCAAATCAGAGTGTGGAAAATCACTGGGTGTTGGCATAACAGCGATAAGAATCCTGCCACAGGGTTCACATTCATTCTAATGCGTTTTCCCATGGCATATTTCATTATCAATTTGCATTGGAATCAATTTCCATCGAGGAGGAAGAGAGGAATTTGGCCAATACCCGAAAACCAATCGCATTTAGCCGGTTTGCATAGTTTGCGGGCATCATTTGAGCTCTAAACATATCGAACAACCAACGCCGAAATTTCGAACAATGTTTGGCTTCTCTGTCTGAACTTTGGATGCATTTTAACTGATTAGATTTATCAAATGGTGGGCGTTGAATGGGGGGGGGGGTTAGTTGGGAGGACGAATGCCAACTTGGCCACAGAGAAGATATGTATTTGGCAGATGTCAAACCATTGGTCAATGGGTCATTGGAGAAGGATTAAAAGGAGGAAGAGTCTTTGGGTCCCTTGACATGTGGGATTTACCAGAAATCTAACATTAGAAATTATATTTTAGTATTGGCAATGGATGTACTTACAGCTGAAGATATTTTGAATCTGGAAGAGAAGATAAAAGGTTTATAAGTATAAAAGGTTTAGGACTAATTATATTTTAAAAATACAAAGGGAAAAAATATTATAATTGTTATCATAATATAATCATATTCCCTTCTCTTGATAAGAATTAAATATAAATTACATTATATGAGTGTTGAAATTTAAAGTAAATATGTTTGTATGTCAAAAGAAATCTTTATTTGTTTTCTCCATAGCTAAAAGGAGTTGATTATCTTAGGCAATATCTTTTATAAAATACTTCTTTCTCATAAAATCTATTCTAAATATGGATCCAATTCATATCTTATTTGACTAAATGGTACTGCCAAGTTGGTTCAATCCGACATTTGAGTATCTGAACATCAAACGACCTAATGGAAAATCCTTCTCTAGAACGAGCAGCTCCAGTTACCTACTTACATCCATGTGTGACACCCACAATAATATCCACTCAGCCCCACCCCAAAACCAAACCCACAGCCCACATCTTTCGGTTCAGCATACTAACCTCCCAACGGAGCTACTGACAATAGCAAAATCTATAAACTATTGAATTGCAAATTGCGTATAAAGTCAAAAGAAATTTTTGCAATGTAAATTAACGGCCACCGAAACTCTGGGCAAAAGAGCAAAATCAAAAAAAAAAATCAAAAATCAGCAAAAACACAAGAGAAAGGGAGATGTAAGAACAACGAGAATAGAAGACCACAGACATTTGCTGACCCATCTACGCCCACTTGTCCACCCCCGATTGCTTTCAGTGGAACAGAATTGTGCTATGAAATAATCCGCAACGACAAATATGCGCGCTGTTTTATGTGTGTGTTAGCCATGTTTATACCAGAGTGTGAGTGTGTGTGTGTGCGGCGTGGCCAGTTGGTTAGCCAAGTATCGCACAAAGCCGTGTGCTGTGCAAGTATTTTGTATTTTCGGAGCCAGTTACCCAGACGCCAACAACAACAGGCACAAAAGCAGTAACTGCCACAGCAGCCACTGGCAAACCACACACATAAACCGGTTCAACGAAATTCCAGACAGCAGCCGTCGTCGCCAAAAGAGCAAAAGCAAAAGAGCCCCTCGCAACCCCAGTCTCAGTCTCGGTTTAGATTCAGATTCGGATTCGGATTCAGCCGCTGTCTGTTGTCTCTTTCCCGGCAACTGATTCCGTCCCCAATTCCCCATTTCAGTCCCCCATCGAAGACCCAAGACCCAAGACCCAACACCCAAGACATGGCCAACAGCAGCCGGCACTAAATGTCAAGCAAGTGAACGGTTTCCAGTTGACGGGGGCTACTTCCCAAAAGTGGGAGTGGAGTAGAGTGGAAAAAAATACCAAAAGGTTACAAGAAATTACGAACCAAAACAAGATTTGATTAGATTTAATATTATGTGTAGCACTTTGGCTCTTCAACATTTTTAAAAATGATGTACTACATTGCCAAGAAGATATCTTAAGGCAAATACCAAAGAATTCGCGGAATAAAGAATGGATCCAAACCTCTTGTCATTTATTTATATCTTTTGAGTATTTTTTGATCATACATATACCTAAACTATACTTTACTTTATAAATAAGTATACAATATTTTTTTTCTCTGTGTAAAATTGCAACTGTGCAGAAAAATAATAGCAGGAAAAGAATCACAAAGAAAGAGAACGCCAATCGCCTGGTTTAGAAACCAGCACCACAGAACTGTAACTTCGATTAGCGTGGAGAATGGAACTGAGCTCAAGTACAAAAAAAAGACAGCATAATAGAGAGCTGTTGATAAAGAATCTTGGAATACAATCAAGATAAACAAGACGATGAATGGGAATCCTTTGTTATGTAAACTATGTCTTCAACCAAACCATCTTGCGTAATATGTAACAAATAAACAAGATCATATGAAGAGAATCAAAATAGACTTAACTAAGGTTGGAATATTCACACCTACCTGGCAATGGATAACCTTTCAATATACCTTTCACTCAAGTAAATATCCACCAACAACCGAATATTAATAGAACCTGAAAAACGATACTAAGACATGCCGAGTTGGAAAAATACCAGAACAACCGGAAAAGGAATGCCTGCTTTTGTCATGTCGGGCCTTTATCTAAATCTCCAATTACTATACCAAATCATATTTCAATATCCTTAATGGATCTTTAATGGAACGTGGAAATATCCGACAAACAGAAAAGGTTAATAAAAACCGGCACACATACAAACGCAGGCGAGTACTTACCCGCTTACACATACATCAGTTATATAATCACGCTTTTTCTCTCATTTTTCAAAGCCGGCAAGGCGACAACTCCGAACGAATGGCGACGGCAAATTTGTTGTAATCAATATGAACTGGCGTCTGGCTGCTGCCTCAGATAACTCCACACACACCCGTAGATACATATACAAGCCTCCAAACAGGCCATAAACGAAGGAGTGTGGAAAAACAGATTTGTGAAAAATGCGGAAAATGGCAAGAAATGAAATCGATGGATCCACAATCCACAGCAGGAACCATTGCGTTATATTGCAAAATATATAAGAAGGAGGTGGGGGGGGGCATGGGGAAATGGTGGGATGGTGAAATGGTAGTACTATACCATCTTGTGTGTGCTACATGCGTCAGCCATTATGATAAATCGCACCTTTTATTGCAGCATCAGCGCCTTGGTAACTGATTCATAAAGGGTGCGGTGCCCGGGGAAGGTTTGGGTTTTAGTTGATTTCGCTGGATCTGTTTTCCTGGATTTGGCCAAATCGTTAAAGTCACAGATAGACAAACAGATACCGGGTTGGCGAATATGACATCATACAACGATGTCGCTTTTCCTCAACCTCGGTGGCAGCATTTTCTTGTTGTTTTTGCCGGTTTATATCTGGTAACCCACCCATCTTTTCTTCCCTCCAGTCTCACAACTTTTCTGTGTGCGTTGCTGCAATTACGAATACATATTTTTGATAGACTTGCTTAAGCCAGGGAAAAAAGTGATAAACGACCTGCTAAAAGGAGGAAAAAGCGCTGGGAAAGGGGAGTGTTCAAGGCAAGTGGAGCAATTTTTATAACAGAAACCCACATATCTACATAAATTCCACAGGGAATTTAGAGCAAACAAAGTGACTCTAAGGCAAAGCGAGGTACTCTAGATAAGTTCACGAGATTCTTAGGGGAAACACTCAAAAGTGTATTAAAAAAAATGAGATCACTTGACTTTGGTTATAGTTTTTGGGGGGCTGAGTGTTTTATCGTTCTTGAGATGATCACTTGAATGTTTTAGTTCTTGAAGCACTTAAAGGGTAATCGGGAATGGGATTACTTATTGAATGCTTCAATATGTTCTACAACAAACTGCTGTGAAAATAATCTAGAATGAGAACACTTGCATTGTAATAAATGATTTTTCAAGCTCAATGGAATATTAATCACTGCATATATAGTAAATATATAGTAAATACCGAACGTTACTCATGGCCTTTCCTCTACGTTTTTCCCACTGAAGTTTTTATACAGAGTTAAAAATGCATTTCGCTTGAATTTCTACACAATATTTTCCGGCAACTTTGTTGACATTGGAACATGCGAGAATCTGAAAGTTTTTGGCAACGAACCGCTCCATGATGCATGACCCAACCGGGCCCCATCCCACCATTATCCCCCCGATCAACACAACCCAACCCCAGCCGATGTGAATTCAGTTCAACCTCCGCCCCATCAATATGTTACCTCAAAATGTTTTTGCTGTCGCACTGGCCCATTAAACATTCATCATTTTCCATGGCCATTCGTCATCAATGCGTGGAAAAGTTAACGCCAAGAGACGAGGAGTGAAAATGGCTGGATGGTTGGATGGTTGGATGCCTGGAGGAATAAGGGTAATGGGAAAAGTGCAGCAGGGCAAAAGGAAAACAAAAACAGAGATATAAAAAGACCGACATCGGTCAGCGGGCCAATACACACACACACACACACACAGATACGAAAATAGTGCAAAACTCTCAGTTGGCTGACATACTCGCACAAATCCACAAACATTTATCGAAATATTTCACACGCATTCGAGCCGAAGAAATGTGTGGTAACAGCACAAACAATTACAAAACAACAAAGGCTTTTTGCTGTGATCGAAGCTTAAACATACTGGATTTATCAGTTCCCATGCTAAAAATACATAACAAGTATTTTGTTGCATATTACATTTTACAACATGGCAAAAACGGGTTTACAGTCTTTGAATATATTTTTTAGACAGAGGGCAGCTATATTTTGAATGGATATTTTTTCCCAATATTTATTGACTTTTAGTTAATGGTATAGAGATTAGATTGTAGATGTTTTCAACGTGTAACAAAGGTATAAAAACAACAGCAAACAAACACCGATAAAGTGCATTGAAAATCTGCAGGTGAGAACCAAACTAAAGTGAAGTGAAAGCCACAAACTGCACTAAAAAAAACCCTTCATTCTGTGGCGCTGCATTTGAACTGAAAGAAATGTGGGTTCCCAGAGACAAGCTCAAAACTTATGGACAGACAGACACCTGCGAATAGGGTCAATAGAGTTACCAAAGGTAGAACACGATAGACATGAAGTAAACCCCAGAAATACATCGGTCCAATGTCGCACCAAGAAATTGTTGCTTTTTTTTGGTTGCCAGTTATTTTATTTGCTTTTGCGGTTAGCACCAGCATCAGAAATCAAAGCTCCACTTTTGCCTGACCCATTCATTACCATAAAAAGTGGGGGCCAATTGGAGGAGAGATTGGGGAGCGGAGAAGCGGAAACAGGTTTCATCATCACTGCAGAACAAGAATATTCATTGGGATCTCCGGGGGACAGCGAAAGTGGTGCCATAGAAAGTTTCCTCGGCTTTGAGTCGGTCTTCATTTTTATTTTTTTGCTTAGCCGGGTGACACACGAACGCACACAATCACGCAGGCCGAGAACTTTTTAATTAGACACTAAACTGCAACTGTCACGAGACCCCTTGGGTTTTTCTTCCCTTCAGAAGAA